CTTTTAGTTGGTTTACCTTTAAAGCTTATAGATAAATTACAAAAAGTACAGAATACTGCGGCTAGACTTGTTATTTTAACTAAGAAATGTGACCACACAACTCCTGTTTTATATAATTTACACTGGTTACCTGTTAAATATCGAATTGATTTTAAGATTTTATTACTTACTTTTAAATGTTTAAATAATTTAGCTCCTGTTTACCTCTCAGATCTTTTAGAACTTTATACACCTGGTCGAACATTACGTACATCAGATAAACTACTTTTAAAGCCCAAAACTGTTCAACTAGTCTCTTATGGTCAGCGCTCTTTTAGTTATTAAGCACCTGTTTTATGGAATAATCTACCATTTAGTTTAAGATGTTGTACATCTCTATATTCTTTTAAAAAAACAACTTAAAACACATTTTTTTAATCAGGCTTTTAACTGACCCTGTATACAATCGTTAACATGCCCATAATCTTGTTGTTTATGTGTGATTTACATTGTCACTTTGTAAAGTGCCTCTGAACATGTTATATGAAAGGGTGCACTATAAATATGCTGTAATAATAATAATAATAATAATAATAATAATCTTAATTCATAATCCTTAATTCTTATTTCTTCATTTTTTTGTCATATTTCGACATTTGTACACTAAAATAAACATTTGTATCTTAAAATCAATATTTGATTCACAAATCAGACATTTGTCATATCAGATTTGTAAAATGTATTTTTGTTTAATTTAATTGTACTTTAATATAAAGTAAAATTTATTTTAGAAAATCAAAAAACAATAATCTACATTTACATTTCCTCATAGACATACAGCGAAAACAAATCTCGAACAACACATTTCCAAATACAAATCTCCAAATAAATATCTTGCAAAACATTTCTTCAAAAACATTTCTTCAAAAACATTTCTCGAAATTCATCGAACCGGAACATTATGACGACATGATCCGAAATCAACCTGGCATACAATAAGTCATCATACAATAAAGGAAAATCGAGCAAGTTATACAAGAAAAATCGCTCGATGACCGTGAAATCACGTGCGTGTTATGTTTCTATATATAAATATATTGGTTAATATGATCTAGCATTAAATAAAATAAATTGAGAGTAGTCTTTTTTTAGTAATTATGTTATTTTTTGTTAGTGACATATTTCTTTGGACAAACGAAAGAGGATTTTATCTCTTCTAAATCATGTAATCATGAATGTCCCAGTAAAATAGCTAATACTCGTATATTCAAAGAGCGATAGACAAATACTTTCGGCTGAACATCACACGATAACTGGAATTTCCTATTAAGGGTGGGGTCCTAAATGTCAAAATTACGGGTCATACTACCACATTCCAGATATCACACAGAATACCACTAAAATTCTGGCACATTTAAATTTACATAGCTTTGGATGACGCTAAATATTAAGTAAGTGGGGGGGGGGGGTTAAATGTTAAAGTTAAAATACGGGTTATCGTGTAATGTATGACCGGAAAGTTTTTTGGGTTTTTTTATCCCCCTTTCAATATATTACTTATTCCCTGTCACATATGCGTTGTATCATAAGGTCTGTCATTGAGTCAACTGGCGTGGTTTCGATTCCCCGGTTGTACGTGACAAGGAGTACGGTCGCCTGTCCAACCTCGTGAGTTTTCTCCGGGTCCTCCAGTTTCCTACCACTGCTAAAGACCCCTACGCATAAGCGAATTATTGAAATAAAATTGAACCATATGTTAGTCCCGAAATGACCTAGTTGTGTCGAGTTGACGTTAAACCCATTTCTCTCTCTCTCTCTTTGAGAAAAGAAATATGTCGCTACCAGACAAAACCCAATTTCTGAAAATAGACTACTTTCAATTTATTTTCTTTATCGAAGGCCCGTTCTGATTAGCCATACATACGCACGTGGTTTTACTAGAGTCAAGATCATAGAGCGATTTTTCTTATTGTTCATCACACTGATCCGCAGTGAATATTCGCTTGGCCGCTACAATCACTGATAAGGATGACATCGATGCGACTTAATGACTACAAAATATTAACTTTTTTCTTTCGACAAATTAAATTCTGAAACATTTTTTTTTTTTAGTATTAGAAAAATAAATAAAGGTGTTTGAGGTATATCTTGATAAAAAATATTCCATATTTAGCGTAAATAGGTACAGAAAATAGTACGCGGAGGCGTAAAATGGGTAAAACGATATAATTTTGCCCGTACCAGTTCATATTACTACGTTCGATGTAAACAACGCACGTGTGACCATCAATTTGACGTTTTTTTCTGTTTGTTTACTCTGAATTCTTTCAGAAGTACATTTTTACCGTCTAATCTGATTGCCCTGCTCGTGTTTGTTATAAAACAACATTGTGATGTGACGTCGCCCTTAGAACTATAGCGGTCTGACCTTTTAAAGGTCAGTCATCTTGGACAGAGATAAAAGACGGATGTCGCATTAGGTCTGTAAAACAGATTGATTGTTCATATGCTTATACGCGATTCCCAATTATTGTATGGTGACTTATTGTATGCCAGGTTGATTTCCGCCCATGTCGTCATAATGTTCCGGTTTGATGAATTTCGAGAAATGTCTTTAGAGAAATGTTTTGCAAGATTTTCTATTTGGAGATTTGTATTTGGAAATTTGTTATTCGAGATTTTTCGTTGTATTTCTCTGATGAAATGTCAATGTAGGCTAAGTTATTGATTTTCTTTAAAAAAAGATTAGGCCTATCTTTATATTAAAATATAGGCCTAATTAAGTTAAACAAAAATACATTTTACAAATCTGATATGACAAATGTCTGATTTGTGAAACAAATATTGATTTTAAGATACAAATGTTAATTTTACTGTACAAATGTCTAAATACGACGACATATGAAGAAAAAAGAACACTGAATAAAGAGCTGTTTGGTCTTACATAGACCTCTACCATAATATTTACACGTAACCTGGATACGTATCAATAACCATTAACTAATTCGGTTATATCGTTCAATGGGGTTATACGGGTCTTTGATATGGTTGAATTTGACTTGAACATTATATAAACAGCTTACTCATTGTAAAGACAAAACCTAATTCATTATTTTCCATAGTACATTGAGTTATGAATGATAAACATTCATTTATTATTTTATCAAATGATTCACTGTTAACAAGGGCATATAACTCGCAGACGAAAAGATTTTGATATTTAATTTACTTTCGAGTTCAACGCGTGCGACTTCAATGGAAATTTAGTGACCACCTCATATCTTATATTTCGCGAGCAATGTAACTTTAATTTGGGCCGTTTAACCAAAGTGTTTCTATTGAAATTGAATTCAAATTCAAAATTAAATTAATATCCATTTCAAGAATATTATCGTATGGTCTTTAATAAACTAGAAAATGAAATCAATAAATAATATCAACCGAAAAAAGTTGACATATTATTTATTTTCATTGTGAAATCGAATGACAAAATGGTAGTTTCTTGTGTCACATCTAATTCAAATTATTTATTTTATTGGTGGTTTCAATTTGTGAGGGATAGCGCCAGAGGACAAACATTCTCTTCCCGAGAATCACAGACAAAATAATCAGATTTTTAGTATGAACAAAGTATATTATTGACAATACGTCGAACTCCAACCCTTTCTATTCCTCGAAATATTACATAAATTATGAAAATATAGAACCTCCAAAAATAAAAGAGAACTGAAAGAAAATTGGACATACCGCTAGCCAAAAATGACGAAAGCACGGTTAATATTTCCAGAATCATTTTGAAGAATTTTCCGTGTTCACTTCAGAGCGCCACAAGCTATACCTTTATATGATCAAAACAAATATGTTATGGGGATAGGCTATATAGCCAAACAATACAACAGGTTTTGTAAAGGCAGTGTGACGTTAGCTCTGTTTTCGTTTTTGGATATAGGTGAATAACGAAAAACAACTAGCTCGTTTTTCTATATTGGCGTCGGTATAAATACTTGAATCTCGAAAAAGCAGATTTAATGGACGTATATCTACAGAATGTCTCCATAACACATTTGATTAAATACGTTTTATAAAATAAACTAACGATATTATAAATGAGGATATCTGAGCAGTGAATTCACATAAAAACTGCACTTTCTCCTGTTTTTTTGATATTGGCGAATGTCGAATTACGAGCTACTTAAAAATACAAATTTTAGTGATGTAAATCTACAGAATCTCTCCGAAACACATTTATGATATATCTTTAGTTCATTTTAGAAAACTTATTTAATCAAATATGTTTTGGAGACATTCTGTAGATACACATCCATCAAATCTGCTGTTTTGAGATTCAAGTCTGAATATCGAAAACCGAGACTCTCATATCAATAAACCATGAGGAGAAAGTGCAGTTTTGTGTGAATTCACTGCTCAGACATCCTTATTTATAATATCTTTAGTTCGTTTTACAAAACGTATTTAATCAAATGTGTTTTAGAGACATTCTGTAGCTGTACATCTTTCTTGAGATTCAAGTTTGAATATCGAAGCCAATATCGATAAACGAGCTAGTTTTTTTTTTCGTTATTCACCACTATCGAAAAACGAAATTCGAGCTAACTTCACACTGCCATTTCATTCTAACAAATACCAAGGGCTAGCCGCGTTTAAACCTCATTAATGTCCAGATAATACAAATGAAATGAAATGAAATGGGGTTTAACATCCTACTGTTCTGCTCCTATACTGGGCTAATGAAGACGGGCATACGCCAACAGTGTGCTATGAGGGAAATTTTGCCCGGACAGCGGCACTACGGCCTTACAGTGTGCCATGAGGTAAATTGTGCACGGACAGCGGCGTTATTGCCTACTCTTATATCAAATTCCAACTGCCAAGGGATCTTTTACGTGCCCGTAAATGTGTGCACGGGACCTCTTTTTTTGGTCTCATTCGAACGACTAAACAGGGGAAACAACTCCGGAAACAGATGATACGTCATGTTATATTGTATTATCTATTTTCAGGAGAGATTTTCGATTAGCAGCAGTTAAACCAGGCGATCCCAGCAGTTATATACCACAACCTGTCATCTGGTTAAAGTCGGGAGTACAAAATACAGTAAGATTATTTCTTCTTATATCTGTAATGGGGGAGCCATGTCTGACGTCATAGGGTCAAAAGCCGCCCGTACGGCCCCTGAAGCGACCTTCCACTACAACCGGTCAGATCTTCATGTAGTGTAGGTCATGTAGTGTAGTATATATAAAATAACGAAACGAAATATAGATTTGTATTTTAATCAGATTGTGGGGAGCCGCGGCGGCTCAGTGAGTAAGATGTATGGTCACTAAACTGGAGGTCCCGTGTTAATCTCGGTGATGGCCGAGAAAGTTCATCTGGATTTTCTGGCGTGATTCCCCCTTGTCGTTGGTATAGGGCCTGGCAAGGGATAACGTAAACTTGAGGTCTGAAAGGCGGGGGCGGCTTTGGATATATACAGGGAAATTTGGGGTTATTCTTTTGAAAGTTTTTCTTTAAACCTGTACCGGGTTATTTTTCCAGGGTAGTTTTTTTCCATAAGAAAACATGATATAAGGTTTTTCTTACGTGATATAAGGTTTTTCTTACGGGAATTCTGGGATATTCTCATCTTGCGTACATGTAAACATAGACGGTCTATAAGCAAGATAAAGTCCTCGACTTCGGTTATGCTGGGGAAGAAAGACTTCAGAAAAAACCCTCGACAGAAAAACCTCGGCCTACCGGGGCCTCGGTTTTTCTTTTTCTCGGGTTATTTTCTTCAGTCTTTCTTCCGGAGCATAACCTCAGTCTGGTGCTTTATACTACGCATAACGTCTGCTTGGGCAGAGGGCGGGGCGAGTGCATGACGACAGCATAATAATACCGTTGATCCTGATGCCTTCAAATAAAATGTTTCGACAAGATTTAGAGGAAATTTCTGTGTCACAGTTGGAACCAGTAACCTACGAGGGGGCGGCCCATAGAAAATAGCTTTTAAGTCAAGGAGATGTGTGAATGCTCCTAACACGATTGCTTCTTTCACCAACGAGGTGCGCCTAACGGATTTCTTTTCTCGCCCTTCCATTCCCACCAGAGGTGGCCTAGATAATTCATCCGGGTTTTCCGGTGTGGTTTCCCCTTGTCAGTAGTGCAGGACGGAGGGCCTGACAAAGACAGCTGTTTAGTCGTTCGGGTGAGACGAAAACCCGAGGTCCCGTGTACACATTGGCGTGCACGTAAGAGATCCCTTGACAGTTGGAATTCGATATAAGAGTAGGCCTTAGCACCGCTCTCCGGGCAAAATTTCCCTCATAGCACACTGTATGGCGTATGCCTGTCTTCATTAGCCCAGTCGGAGCAGAACAGTGGGACGTTAAACTCCATTTCATTTCATTTCCATTCCCACCAAATTTGGAAATAAGATGCCCCTTACAAATCTTATCTTCGTCTTGGAGACTACAAATCGTTGTTATCTTATGCTTGGTCCCAACTATCACGATTCGTGCTGCGATCGAAATCGTTGTTTTAATCGTAGAGTAATCGTGGTGATCCTATCAGGTCTTATTGAGGTCATTCGTAGCAATTGTGGTGAACGTATCTGCACGTACAGGATCGTGAACTCAATGGGTAAAATCCTACCGTAACGCATCGCACAACAGTGGGAAACTACCATAAAGGAAAGTATTTTATGACAAGTAATTTCTTTGATTTTAGGCTGACGGTGTGTATGAAGCCAGTTTTAACAATCCACCAAAAGGTTGGCTCGGATTCTTTATTCAGGTAAACTCAATTTTATAAAAATTTCTTAAATTATTTACCCAACCAAGTTCCACATTCAGAATATTTTCACTCGCCCACACCCTGGGCCCAGACCTGGTTAATATTGGACTACTGAAGCTTAAAATAGTACTTTGAAGCGCTGATATTTCGGATGTAGGCTACTAACTACAAACAGACATCTTTCATTTACGGCGACGGGAGCGAACACTCGGCAAACCTCAGCAGATTCCAGTACCCTACATCTAGCCTCGGCTGTATGACGAAATCCGCCATTGGAACTACTTTCAAGTTCCCGCATTACCAACGGCCTTGCCCATGATGACGCCTTTGAAGAATGTTTATCATACAAATATTTTATCCGATTTTCTTCAAACAAGGACAGCTTTGCACTAAAAATTCTACACACGCTTTTGATAACTTCATTTTAAAAGCGACAAGTGTTCCTAATAAGTAAAGCGGTACCGCATCGCAATTGTATTGGCGTAGGTACATATCACTTACCGCCATACAGCCGAGGCTAGATGTAGAGTAACGGAATCTGTCGAGGTTTGCCGAGTGCGGGAGCGAGGTGAAGATTTGTTGGAAACCATGCACGTAAAAGAGAGAGAGAGAGAGAGAGAAATTGGGTTTAACGTCTACTCGACACAAACTAGGTCATTTCGGGACTACCACGTAAAAGAACCCTAACAGTTAGAATTCTATGAGGGATACAGGCGAAAAATTTCCCTCGTACCACACTATCAGACGTCTGTCTCGTCTTCATTAGCCGGGTGGTGCAGGAAAGCAAAACGCTAACCCCATTTTAATTCCATTTATTTAAACAAATGTTACAACCTTTTGTTTCTAAATCAACCTATCCAGAAGCAGCGATTTCTGGGATCCAAGCTGATTGAAACTGAAACTTTTATTGTTTTATATTTCAGGTAACCTTCCCGGGAGTTGATCCAGAGAGTGACTTCATGTTTACAACTCAGACTCAGATTATACCAAACACTTTCCCTTTCCCTGATTGTCAAGGTGCTGAATGTCTTGGTACCCTAGTTTAACACTCCCCACCCCCGATCCCTTGCCTAGTTGTCAAGGTACAGAATGTCTTGGTGCCCTAGTTTAACACGCCCTCTCAACCCTTATACCCCCCGGTCCTTTTCCCTCCCACGTTCATCTCCCACCCCACTCCCATTGCCCCTTATTGTCTCAATTGATTTGGTACATCGTTAAGTGTATTGCTAAGCTACCACTTGGTCTACAGCCTCTATTGTCAAGCCCCTTGGTATCCCAGTATAAATATTACACCATCCATAAAGACCATGATGAACACCACGTGGTTTGCAAAAATATGAATGTATTTTGTTGTTTTTTTTATCTGTAATAAATATTTAGGAATAGACTTGTGTCTTTTGTATGTTCCCTGTCATCTTCTCTTTTAAAATCGCATATGAATGAAATGAAATAGGGTTGAACGTCCTCACAGATCTGCACTAACTGGACTAATGAAGACGGGCATACCCAATTGTTAGATCTATTTCTTAAGGCCACCTCCAGATTGGGTCAAAGGTCACAAGATGTAAACAGGGCTAGCGCTAACCCTAACCCTGGACCTAGGCCTAACCCTTGCCCAAACCCTAACCCACAATCACGTCAATAATCACGTACCCTATCCTTACTTTCATCTCAGCGGTCTGGCCTTAAGAAATAGATATAGCCCATACACAATGCAGTGTTATGAGGGGCATCTTTTCCTTGGCCAGCGGCGTTTCCGATGACTTCTAATCGAATTCCAATTGTCAAGGGCTACTATACGTCAACGTGTGCACGCAGGAGCGTACGTATCGATCTTGTTTGAGGGGGGGGGGTAATAAAAATGAGACCGACTGATGCACAGGCCCCTAATACGAGTAACGCAGCCACGAACACAGCTGGTGTGAGCTTTTTCGGGGGTGGGTGGGGGGCCGGTGAAATTTTTGAATCTACAGTCCCTGAAATGCAATTTCATGGACTTAGAGGAAAGATTTTGCAGAATTCTGATAGTCAGAAAACACTTATAACTTGAGTAAAATTGAGTACTACGTATGGGAAAGAAAGAATTACTTTAGAGTAGCTAAGTCTCTAACTCAAAATCACCCAATATTTAAGACAAGATAAACACTTTACCATTGGTAGACAAATCGTGTACCATAATGCGTTTCAGCGCCATTTGTAACAAAGGATTCGAAGAACGATGCGTATTTCGCCGGGGTGTTCCCACTTAGCCGGCAGGCTTTGATGTCAAATTTTGCCGCTAATCCAGAGTTAATCCTAGAACAATGGTGTTATAAACTATAGTCCATATCTTTTTTAAGACTAAAACTGTATTGATTTTAACAAATTTAACTTTTATTAAATAACATTAAATAGCTTACACATATAAAAACATCATTCTTGGTGTTTACAGTAGCTGGACAAGTTTTTGTTGAACATTTCCAATGAACGGCATTTGGTCTGCTTGACTTTATACTGAACTTGTAACCATTGTGTATTAAATATCAGCCACTTCGATTTTTGGAGATAAGGCGAATATTAACCTGAACGTTTGCCATTTTAAAATAAATATAATTTCGACACAGATCGACCATCTATTTATATTAATATAGTGAATTGAATTCATGTTTGAAATCATAACGCCGGCATGAACTGTCTTCAAAATGTCATTAATTAGTTGGTTAGTGACTACTTATAAACAGATTATAGTTTTAAGATCAATCAAAGGATTAACAGTCTGCCGGCTAAGTGGGAACCCAACATAATTGATTAGAAATTACAGTAAAAACAGAAACAATTGAATGTAAATCAGTTTATATACATTCATATTACATTATTATATGCGTTGCGACCCATTTGTGTCAATTTCTAGATCCCAAATATTAGCGATTTAACTCCTGTAAATAGTCGGACTGCGATCGTTCAAATTCCTGCAAGTTTTTTTTTTTGTTGAACTTTAGTTAACTGCATGTTCAAAAATAGAGTTATGGCCCTTGCACTGTGAATTCAAATAATACAGAGTCAAATCACACACTAGTAACTGAATAGACAAAAGTTGTAAGGACGTCTGCAGGTCTCACTCATGATTGTTTTATGTGAAATATTCCATGAACGAAGGCCTTTAACAATCAACAACTTCATATATTGTAATTTTTTAAAGCAATTTTCAGTTCTCGAAGTGACACATTTTATTCATTAGATTAATTGTTTGCGCAAGTACCCGGGACAGGGGCGTACATAACGATTTTGTTTGCGGGTGTTGAGCCAAAATGCGACCGACTGATGCCCATACCCCTAGTACGAGTGACGCAGTCAGGAGCCGAGCACCACAGGTTCGAGTTTTGTAGGGGCCATGTGCAGTAGCGGATCTAGATAGAGGTGGGGGGGATCCAAATCTAGGGCGTCACCCCAGCCACAATCAAAACCCACAATGAATGTCAACAAAATACTGGCTATAACATTAAGCGTCCCGGTAGAACATAGATGGTATTGTATAATTATATAGTTGTTTGCCGATCGTTGTCTCGCTGGAAAGCAGTTTTATTTAAGTTGACATAAAGTTTATGTCATATATGATTGTGCCTATAACACTAAGCAGCCTGAGAAAATTTTGAAAAATTGAGTCAATATCTTGGCATTTGAGGTCATTGCTAGGAGAAATTCTTGTGGACGAGAGGACCAGAAATGTGAGTCAATAAGACAAAATCTCGAGATCTTCCCCTGTCAATTCCGCCTGTTTTGCAAGAGTTGACAGAACTTTTGTATAGTCTGACGCCCCACGACCCACACAACAGTGCCAGTGGTACTACTAACATAACTTGGCAGTTCAGTATAACTGTAAATAAGAAAGTGCTGAGACAGTATAAGACAACAGAGGAGTGGAAGAATGATGTCATAATGGAATCGAGCGCCGCAGGCGCGAAAAAATTTCAGATGTGTAACCGAGCTTTTAATTTTTGGGACTGGGCCTGACAATTAAAATTTTAGTCAATGTCATGGCAAATGGATCCAAATTCTCGTTAACGAGAGGATAAGAAATGGGACAGAATCTTGAGGCCTATCTGTCAATATCGCCTGTTTTGTGAGAGTAGAACTAACAATTCTACAGTCTTTTGACCCACGACTCACACACTAGTGGTACTAACTGGGCGATTCACTGTAACTGTGAATATGATAGTGATGAGATAGTATAAGACAGAGAAGGAGTTGAAGAATGATGGCATAATGGAATTGAGCGCCGATATGTAACTGAGCTTTTAATTTTTGAGGACTGGGTCTGAGGGCACTTTACCTCAATGGGGCGCTTACTTGGTCTCTGAAATGCCCTGGACTTTGGGGAGAGATTTTGCAGAATTCTAATCGTCAGAAAACACCCCATTAATTCATTAATTGCGGTGAGCAATTTTTTTTGAGACCGACTATTTTTTTGCCATGGGGTGAAAAACATTTTTTTCAAACATGATAAGTCGACAAGGTTATTTTATACTAAAGTTTTGCGTGAGTAGAGTGACGTGTGCAGTGAGCACTTATTTTGATACCAACTGCTCATATCTTACGACCGACTGCACTGATTTTGCGACCGACTAGTATTTGGGATCTATTCTGGCATTATTTGTTTACCTCATTAATTCATTAAGACGGCGATGCATAATTTTGAGACCGACTGCAGTGACTGCACTTATTTTGAGACCGACTATTTTTCTCCCTAGGGGAAATTTTGTTCTTAAGACCTACATACTCACAACAGGGGCGTGCTGGCAGGGAGTTTAGAAGGACGGTGTCCTCCCAGGCCCCCATTAAACAATAAGTCCACCCGTATAAGCGGGCCCCCCTGAGAGCTCTAATATTCACGCGGAAACCCCTCGAAAAAATTGATAGTGCGCACGCGAAAAATCATACATACACAACAATTAGTAAAATATATTATGCTGACGTGCAAATGTCTGTCACCTTAAGGTGAAATGGTCTTTGATACATGTATTCATGCCTCGATATGTATAAGATGCAATTTATTATTTGGATAGAAATACATTGTATTAGCATTATATTAAGCAGACCTGTCATGAGTGTTTTGTGTAGTACAGTAGTATGTCCTATCATCAGCGTACGAGCCAGGGGGGCAGGGGGGCAGCTGCCCCCCTAACTTTCGGGCAAGCTGACTTTTCGGGCAGACGGGTAAAGTGAAAAAAATTTTTTATTTCATCTACTTGGCAAAATAAAGTGCCCAAAATCTAATAAAACACTAATTTTACGGGCTGGAATAGCAGTAAAACGCGTTTGCGACCGTCAGATATTGCAAAAAAATCTTGGGCGGTCCATACAAGGTCAGCTCCGCTTCTTCGTATTTCGAAGAAAACATTCACCGCTGTCTGTAAACCTGAAATTTTTCGGGCATTTCTAATTTTGCTTCCCTAACTGTCATCGAGCCCTAAAAAAACACTAATTTACTTTTCTTTTAATTGAATACCACGAATTTGTACTGAGTTGACTATGGATTAAAACATTTGTCTGGAGTCACTCTAATTTGTGCGACATTTTTCGCGCATCGATTATTATTTGTGAATGCAGCTGCAACAGTCTGATTGGGTGGTTGGAATTCAGAGTGCGATTTCGGTTACAAAAACATTGGATATTTTGGATACTTTTGGAGTTACTGACACGGGCTAGAATAGCAGAAAACGCATTTGCGGTGGTTAAATTTTCAAAATTTTCTCCGGGAGGATGGGTGGGGCCCCCATACCCCGCGACGATTGATTGGTTGTTTGGAATTCGGGTCAGCCAGGTAGGCTATATTGGACCAAATTGAAGTTGCTGTATTCACAGGCTGGAATAGAGGTTAAATTTTCAAAATTTTCTCCCAACAATCCTGTCTCCGTGGACTGTGAACGATTGATTGGAATTCGAGTCAGCCACCTTAATTAGACCACTTTGAAGTTGCTTTGTTCACGGGCTGAAATACCAGGAAAACGTGTTTGCAGCCGTCAAATATTCCAAATTTTTCTTGGGGGGGGGGGGGTCCATGCAAGGTAAGCTTCGTTTCTTCGCCTCTCGTGGAAGACCGGCGCCGCTGTCTGTAAACCCGAAATTTTTCGGGCATTTCGGGTTCTGCCCCCCGAACTGTCATCGGGCCTGTACGCCTATGTGTCTTATAGTCAAAATAGCAGCATAAATTTGGAAAATATGATACCTAGATTTCTCCCAGAAGTGCTTGCAAAACACGTTTCCCGTTGTCAAATTTCAAAAATTTTCTGGGTGGAGAACCCCCCTACCAGCGGCGCGCCTTCGGCGACCGACGGACCTGTGCAGTGAGCACTTATTTTGATACCGACTGCACTTATTTTGCGACCGACTGCACTGATTTTGCGACCGACTATTTTCTTTCCTGGGGGGTACACCCCCCCACACTTACGCCCCTGACCCGGGTACACTTGCCTCAGCTGTCACCAAACCACCCACCCTTGACCAATGGCTAAGGATTGTGTACAACACTATAGCCATGTCTGTAGGGTCGCCTGTGCAACCTCGTGGGTTTTCGTTGGGTTCTCCGTTTCCGACACTGCTTGATGGCATTCAGGACCCAAGATGTCAGGAATACAAAATACCTTGCCATTCGGGAACCACTGTGTCACTGGACACGAACCAAATCACTTCAAGACTAACATGGTGCAATTTTATTTCAATAATTTACTTCTGGAGGAAAACGGAAAACTGTGTACTCGGAGAAAACCCACAACCTCATGTGCAAGAGTCTTTAGAAGTGGGAGGAAACCAGTGTACCCAGCGAAAACCCACAAGGTTAGGCAGACAACCTTATATGCTGGGGGGGTTTTATTAGAAATGATAGACACCAGAGAGATCCACAAGGTTACGTACGCGACCCTAGTGCGGGTGGTTATAGAAATTAGAGAACACCAGGTCTGGAGAGTGATTAAAACACCAAAACTTGAATCGATGACCGATCCTATGATCTTATAGATCACACGATGACCCAAAACCAATCAGGCCAAAGAAGACAATATACACTATACAGTGTTTCAGGAGGGAAATACTGCCTACTCTTTATTTTGTTTTCCAACTGTCAGGGATCATGAAACGACTGCCGGCTGATAAAAGATGAGCTAATGAAAACAGGCATACAACATGATGTGTGCTATGAGAGCAGTCTTTTGCCCAAACAGTGGTTTTACGATCTATTCATATTTCGATTACAAACTGTCATGCTATGCCAACTTGTACACAAGACCTCTACACTGTTTCTTGCCAGATTTTCAACTTGCACAACTAACAAGGGGGATCACGGTGGCTAAGTGGGTAAGGCGCTGGCTCGCTAGCCTGGAGGTCGGGTGTTCGATCCCTGCATTGGCCGAGAAAGTTCATCCAGATTTTCCGGCGTGGTTTCCCCTTGTCAGTGATGCAGGACGGAGGGCCTGACAAGGACAGCTGTCTAGTCATTCGGATGAGACGAAAAACGAAGGTCCCGTGTACACATTGGCGTGCACGTAAAAGATCCCTTGACAGTTGGAATTCGATATAAGAGTAGGCCGTAGTGCCGCTGTCCGGACAAAATTTCCCTCATAGCACACTGTATGGCGTATGCCCGTCTTCATTAGCCCAGTTCGGAGCAAAACAGTAGGACGTTAAACCCCATTTCATTTCATTTCATTTCACAACTAACAAGGGTAACTTTCTCGGTCAACGCTGTGAACAAACCCCTCCTCTTCTTGTTCGACGAGTCTGCATCGTATTTACCACTGCAGCTCCCGGATAAAATCAATCTGATGAAAACACATATCCTATTTCGTTTCGTTTATATAGATCAAAATTTCATTTAACTTGTCTTTACTACACTAGGAACTGGAAGAGTTGTTATCATTGACGTGTTCTGGATGATGTGAGGGATTAGCCAATGAAACGGTCTGTTACGGCGAGTTCTTGACCTTTTGATGCAAGGAACTGTGGGTAAACCACATTGATTGATTAATCAATGTCTGACGTCATAGGGTCAAAAGCCATTCATACGACCATCGAAAGTAAAGGAAACGAAATATAGATCTGTATTTTAATCTGACTGAGATAAAATATAAGTGAAGACGAGTATTTTGTTTGAAAACTTATAAATTGTTTGTTTATTGATCATGTGGATAACATATACATGTAGATAAATAATGAATGACAATAAACAAATAGAACAACACCCTGTTTTTATTAGGAAGACCAAAATATCCACTCATATATGATGCTGAAACAAACGGGGGGAGCTACAGAAATTATAGAGTGATGTCCCCTTGTCTATAAAAACCACGGAAACGTTCAACTTGCTTGACCTATGTTCAGACACAATATTAAGTTTGTGATTTGACTGATTCTTAATACAAGAGCGTAATTTCTTGTTGGCTATGATATTTGTCCATATATATTAAGTATTTCTAATTAAGGATCATTATTCATTACAAAAAATCAAAGATGGATGCATGGGGCCTTGTTACCAGGGATATATTCAAAGATGGATACATGGGGCCTTGTGACCTGGGCCTATACTCAAACGTGGATGCATGGGGCCTTGTTACCAGGGCCTGTATTCAAAGATGGATACATGGGGCCTTGCAACCAGGCCTACATTCCAATAACTTTTTAAGTCTTCCAAGAAAAGTCGGAAGGGGAAATTCAGGAAAAATCTCATTACATTTGTTTTCAACCGACATTAAAAGAAAAACCCTAATAAAGTTGTAGCTCCCTATATATTGATGTGTCGAGGAGGAATTGAGAAAAAAAATCCAAACATACATATACAATTTTATAAGTAGCCTACAATATTCTAATACAGTGGACCATTTTCACATTTTCTCAGAAACACCTCAAATTTCTCACTAACTGATGTCTCTTGATTGGTAGAAAGGTTCCATTTACATGTGTACATGAATTAAGTCCTGGCAGATAGTGAAACAATTCAATGCAATCGTTCAACAATGCCTGTTGGTAGAAAGGTTCCTTTTACATGAAGTCTTGGCCTAAAATCCCAATTTTGGTACGGCTGATTGCATTGGGTATGAAACCCAGAGGAAAAAGTTAGCAAGAAAGTTGAAGCATTATTGGTTACAATCAATGGATGATTTGGATCGTAATTTTGCATATGAATGATAGTATTATGTACATGTTAACACGAGGAGACCCATTTCTCAAAAACGTAAATATCCGAAAAATAAAAATAGCACCTCTTTGACATTTGGCTGGAAAGCCAGAGTAAATGTACTCGAGTCCTTCACAAGGGCCATAATGTATCCTTCTTGGGTGCTCAGATTTCAACTGTCATAAGGAAAATAACACTGATGGCAAGCATTGAAATTGCACCAATGCGCGGCCAAGGTCCAAACATCAGACACCAATCATTTAGATAACTTTTTTCTATTATTTCAAAGATGGCTTGTCGGACTTCGATAGGAATTGTTCAGTAACGTCCTCAAATGGTGCCCAAGGCACATGTTATGCCTGCCAAATCTAAGATACATTGGTTGATAAAAACTTCCAAGAGTGTAAAGTGAACATCCACACATGGAGTTTATTATAAGGCAGTGAGGGTGTATGATTATCTACAGACGGTCTTCGTATTCATCATCACATATCTTATTCTAATCAAAAATTCAAGTTTTTGAGAAAAGGTTCTCCTAAGAATCACAACCAAGATTTAAATATTCAGATTGCACATAAATGTTTGATTTGACTGATATAAGAATATTTAATATATTTTAAATGCAGAGGAACATTAACAAATATGTCTGAGGGGGTACAAGATCTTTATCAAAGCCGGTTTAATATTTCAAATATCTTAAGAATCATTCATAAGCTTTTAGCAATATACATACATGTATTTAAAACTAATTTTACAGTTGCACACTACAGACTAAATTCCTATCAGATTGGGGGTCTTTTTTTAAGTATATAAATATATTTAGCAAAGCAGGAGTATAAATGTACATTGATGTGAATATGGAAGCCAGCATGGTTTTAGTAATGTCTGTGCATCTTGAATTACAAATCAGAATTTTGTTTGTATTTTGAAATTAAATATCGTACAATCTTTATTTATCAAATTTTATATTTATATTTCTTATTTCCATCCAACTTACTCGCATTTTGTTTTGATCAAATAACATAACATAGGAAGAGGTTACCCATCATTAAACATGCATAATGCAAGAGCTCAATCTGCCTGTTGCAGGTCTTTCTTTAGACGCATTCTTCCGAATCAAGCACTGGAAAACAAAGAAAAAAAAAATATTGTGATTCTCGTCTGTTATGTGTGAAAAAATTTGATTTCTACAATCCTTATCTGCTTTTGCAGGTCTTTCTTTAGGTCTGAAATGTTATATAAACTATTAATTAGACATTTATTAACATGACAAGACCATAATCAAGTCTCGATGCCATTGGATAGGTCAGATTTTAAGTAGATTAGAACGGTTCTGACATTTATTGATTTTATCTAAATTTTACATAATGTATCTTTAAGATGAGTTAAAATAGGGCCAGAAACAGAAATGAATTGGGGTTTAACTTCTACTGTTCTCTACCAACAAGGCTAATGGAGAGGGGCATAGGCCGCATGGTGTGCTATGTGGGAAATTTTGCCCAAACAGCAGCACTATGGACTGCTACTGCTATTATTCCCACTGTCAAGGGTTCGTTTACGTGTATATGTTGGGATATTGTTTTTTTTCCCATCTGAATGACTACACAGGTTCGACATATAGGCTACATCCTGCGTTTGGTACAGACACCAAAATCACAAGAGCTAACTTCTGAGACTGATGCATTTGAAAGGTAAGTAAATATAAATACAATATTTGGCAAATAAAATATTTTATAGATATTATTTCAAGTGTAAACACAAATTAACGATTTGTACTCCAGACCAGACAAAAAGGAGGCTACTCTTTAAATGATGGAGTCATAGAGGCATTGGCAAGGTTCAGGCAGTAAAAAAAACAAAAATGTACATTTTATTCAGTAGTGTGCAACTGTTTTTTTCTTTTCTTCAACACAGAAAATTAATATGAATGATAAATATTCAGAAACGATATGAAACCATCAGTTTTTATTTTTGCATCGTGATGAATGAAAAAAATTCCGCATTTAAATGTGACCATCGGGTATTGCACTTTACAGAAATCTTAAAGTGGCTGATCACCATTTGCATTTTACGGACAAAATCAAATTGATTATTTAACATTTAATTAAGAAAACAAAATCTAAATATCAATATTGGATAATCTCCTGGCATGAATTCATTCAGATTAAAGAGAAAGAAATGGGGTTTAACGTCCACTCAACACAAACCAGGTCATATTGGGACTAACATGTAGTTCAATTTTATTTCAATAATTCGCTTGCGCGTAAGGGTCTTTAGCAGTAGGAGGAAACCGGAGGACCCGGAGAAAACCCACGAGGTTGGACAGGCGACCCTACTCCTTGTCACATATAACCATGGCAGTTGACTCAATGACAGACCTTATGATGAGGTTGTGTGTAGGGGTCTTCAGCAGTGGGAGGAAACTGGAGGACCCGGAGAAAACCCACAAGGTTGAACAGGCGAACCCTACTCCTTGTCACATACAACTGGGGGAACCATTTAGTACTAATATTCTTTTTAGAGATTTAACTTTCACAATATTTCAAATGACGATCAGCCACTTTAAGATACAGAGATAAAAAAAAAAAAACTCTTGAAGCATGCAAAAAAAAAAATAATATATAATTATTATCAACATATTAACCATTTGCATATATATATATATATATTTTATCATTGTAATAATTATTCATATATTTATTTATATATATATAGAAAACTAAGGTTTAAAGTTACCACGGCAATGCATTTTTTTCACCCTGGATACATATATAATTACTTAAGCCTGATTCACAAAAAGCCCAATTTTCTTATAAATTCCACAACAAATATTTAAGCAAACTGCATTTTTATTGGCTAAAACCTAAAGTAAGAATACGCTAATATTTAAATTTTAGCCAATGAAACGGCTGCATCCTAAAGATATATTTTGCTGAAGTTTCCATGAGTATAAACCAAGTCAGCTTCAGAATTTAATATCCTAACACCCTGATAAGTTTTTTAACCCAACAGAAAAAAAACAATAAGCTACTACTTTCGAAATATATCCTAATAAGAATTGCCACACATTATTTTGGCGTTATTTGAAACCAGCACTACATTTATCACTAATATTCCAATTTTTATTTTGGCATTATTTGAAATCAGCAGTAAGATTGTCATTAATATTCCAATTTTCAAGTTTAAGGACTCTCTTAGTTTTCACGGGAGAAAAATACTTCCAGGGCTAATAAACACGTTTATTTACATATTAACAAAGGTTTTTACATATCGACAAAAAGTTTTTAACAATTTATAACTTAGTTTTACTTACATACACAATATAGACATTAATAATATACACTTTAAATAGTAATTACATTTAATAATAATAATAAAAAAAACCCGACAAGGTATATGTATATAATTCGTCCGATCATCAAAGGCAGAGGTTTAACAGTCTTGTCTTCATTAGATCCAAGATCCACGGAAGCACACATCGGAACAGGGAAGCACACATATCCAGATTATAAAAGAACAAACATGCAGGGTTTTTTTTTTAAATGTTATGTTTCTAATTAATCCTCAAGAATGTCTTTTCCACAAAAAAAACAAAAAGATTTTAATTTCCTCTATAAATGATTTCAAATACTATTTATTTATTATTATTAATGTCTTCAAATAATAAACACTTTAATATCTTTGCCACAAAGAGACATGTATCCAAGAAATTAATTAATACCTCTGAGCTAACAATATCCAAGAATTTAATACATTTGCACTTGAGATATACATGTATCCACATATGAATATTTTTCCCCCGCCAAAAAGATATCCAAGAATTCAATACCTTTACAAGACCTATATGACGGACACACAGAAAGATCTCCAGAGAAAAGCACTATCCTTTAGAAGTCGAGATGACCATAATTGTTTCTGTAACTTCCAATTAAATTTTCTTGCATATCTGGTAAATATTATATTTATACAAATTGTTTAATCAATAAAAATGTTGGGTTTTTTTTTAACAATATGCACAGTAACTATGGTAACAGTATCATTTAAGAAATAACACACTGCTTGTTCTTTGAGCGACGACGTCTTTGTCGAGGTTGAAGTGTTCGAGATCGACCAATAGCCATGTCATCGACATAAGAAATACGGGGACCACCCTGTCTAGGTTCGTAATAATAGTCAAATTCGTCTGAATCACTTGAACTAGAGCATGTACTACAACTATCCTCGTCGTCATAGTAACGATAGCGACGATATTCTGTTTCTGGCGACCTTCGATGTCGTCTAGTATGATGGTCGCGTCCGTGGCCGCCACCCCGATGTCGCTGGGGTTCCACAAATCCATTGACACTGGGTCTTCCTTCAAAACTTCTACTTCTGGGATACCTTGCGGATGACCCTCGTACATGGTGACCTTGAGGTGGAGGTCGGGTTATGGGGTTCATCTTTACGTCATCAGGGAGAGCAATATTAGCCGCATTACCTCGAGCATGTACAGCAGGAATTTGTGTTGGAAGCTCTGGGTAACCTCTGATTGTTGGACTAAGCTGTCGTCCTGGTGGTGGTTGTGATGGCAACGGTGGCGGTCTACTCACACCAGCCCGATCATCATTGATATCAAGTTGGTTCATCATGCAACATGCCTGCATCTCCATAACCATACCAGGAGGAGGCTGGATCGACATATAGTGATTGACGCACAAGTTTTTCTCCGAGCCACTCTTGCTCCGAGAGCTGTGGCTGCTTTGACGATCTGGGCTGGGTGTTTCTGGCAAGTGCTCATTGGTCAGATCAGGCATCGAGTATTGGGAGAGTCGATTGCGCTTTCGGGCTTCTTGATACATCGAATTATCCCCGATTTCCTGGTAATTAAACGAATAAACCATTTCTGGTTCACCAGAGATTTGTCCCTGGGTTGTTTCATAAAGTCCTGGTGCGTACACCTCACTATTACTACTTGTCGCGTAACCTTGATCTTTATCCGATGGAGGATTGCTGTCCGATATCGTATATTGTTTACGCAACACTTCATGTATATCCATATTACCCTCCTGCATCACATGACTGATAGGGGAGCTAACTCTCACTGCTTGTATATCCTGTAAATAGTCTTCAGGTCTACGAGGTGTCTGCGTTTGCATAGAACCAGCTCGTGAACAAGCGGCTGAACAGTATATAACACCGTGTTTGGGTAAAAATGGTTGTCCTAGTAACGATTTCTGACATGTATGACATTTAAAACATTGTTCCGTAGCGTGCCAGTGTTGACCTTCATGGGTCATTTGACCTTGGTCCACACCAATATGGTCTCCGCAAGTGTCACAGTATTCCGCGAACATCCTCTGAAAGCACTGACAGCAGTATGGTCTCCCCTGTCGCATGATGTAACGTTGACCTCCCAACTGGGTGTCGCATTCAAAACAACAGAAATGTTTCATATGCCACGATAAACCTTCGGCCTCCGTACATTCATCAGCAAATATAATCTGAAACAGAACCAACACATAATTAGCGACAATTTATTGTTAGAGATTAAACCCGGGATCCTCAAGAGAGTTTAAAATAAAAGGCAGTAGCCTGAAGGCAATCATGCAAATGATTTTTAATGTAGCTATCTTTTCAACTTTCTTGGGAATTTTAATCCCAGTGCAGCTCAAGCTTGGTTTTCATGTCATGAGGTTGGACAGGCAAACCTACTCCTTGTCACGTACAATCGGGGGAGTGAGAGAGATGGGGTTTAATGTCCACCCACACAAACTAGGTCATTTCGGGACTAACATGGTTCAATTTTATTTCAATAATTCGCTTGTGCGTCGGGGTCTTTAATTAGCAGTTAGAAGAAACTAGAGGACTCGGAGAAAACCCAAGAGGTTGGAAAGGCAAACCTACTCCTTGTCACGTACAACCAGGGAATACTGTAATGATACTAAATAAGAAACAGCCTTGACTGTCAACTTCCAAAACAAGAGTAAAATGTCTGGTTTACAACCAAATCATAAATTCAACTTAATATTACCTCATCACAAGCAGCACATCTTGGTTTTAACATTTCAGCGTGATGACGTCCACAGAATAATTCTCCATCTTTAAAAAAATATATCAGATCTACTAATAACTCTCCGCATGTTGAACATACAAAACAAGATGGATGCCAACATCGTTCATGACCAGCTCTTGATGCGAACACAGCCATATCTCCTCCAGGTATTTCATTATGACACTGAAATAGTAAACAAAAAAAATTTATGATATATTCCTTGTCTTGTCTTTTTATCTAAACATTTATAGGGACGGTCATACAAGCGTTCTAACCCATAATCCCCGAAAATCAACAAGTTTTCAGTCAAATCAACTGGCAGATTTGACTAAACATAGAAGCGTTGTAACCCATAATCCCCGAAAATCAACAGGTTTTCAGTCAAATCAACTGGAAGATTTTTACTCAAATGTTGTCCTGAAATTATATTTGAGTAAAACTTGGGTACACCATTGAATATTTACTATAAGGTGATATAATTCACTAAAAGTCACTTAACAGAAAGGTTCCATCCACTGAATTGAAGCCCCGGTAGTTCGGTAGGTGTGGCGGTGGTGGCTCACTAATCAGGAGGTTCTGGATTCAATCTAGTGTCTAGTTATTTGGATGGGACAAAAACAAAACAGGTGTAAGATCCCTTGACAGTTGGAAATCGAAATATAAGCGCAGGCCGAAGCGCAGCAGCTGTCAGGGCAACATTTCCCTCATAGCCCACTGCATGGTGTACATGGATCTCTTTTTCTGGATAATCTATACTACTGGAAAAAAAACTAAGCTTATATAATGTATGAATACATACCCTTGAACAAATAGTTCCTGTCATTGTGAGGGGTAAGGGTCGTACACTTCCCCGTCCCAGACATTCCCGCTTTCTCTGAGCACTAAACATTCGTAATTCACGTTTCTCCTCTTCCGATAGACTGTTACAATATCGGACTTCGTTATCATGGGGAGGTAACTGTTGAAGTAACTGTCGAACACGATATTTCTCTCCATTACTGTTTAAATATGGCACCTTATCATCGGCAATGGCGCCAAAATACTGATGAACCTGAAATATTAAAAGATAAATAAATTGTAAAAATAGTTGTAAATTGAAAATTAATCAAATTAACTGAAAATATTAACCGATCGTAAAAACTTTCATTGTCTCAATTTGGCAAACAAGATTTTAATTTGACCCTCCTACCCTTTAGAACCATTTAATTCATGCTTCAAAATATTTTTTGTTTTAACTTGTGATTGGCTGGAATACACAGTGTGTTAACCAATCATAGCCTACAATACATATAACTGCTGATTGGTGGATAATATGCATAGTGTTTTATTCAGGCCTGGAGAAATGGTTTTAGATGTACCCGACAAAATATCAGGTACTAATTAACTAGCAGCAGACATATTCAACTTTGTGTTAGACATGTTATAAAAGACAAATTTTTGCCAGATAAAATGACAAGTGCCAATTGGATTGTGACATTGTCAGTGACCGTTGCTTTATTTCCAGGCATGGTGTTAGCCAATCACAGCCTATGATACATTTAACTCCAGATGTGAATTAGACTTTAACCCTTCCTTGTCTAGAGAGGATATTCTGATCTCTGCCCACAAATATTTAATTACTTTGAAAAACATCTTTGCGGTGGATTTCACATCTTTGTTGTGTTAAGGATGGGGTGAATATTTTCCATCTGTGTGTAATTAAGGTATTATATAAAGATAATTAATTAGTAATTAACGTTAATTATAATATATTAGATGGTAAGGTAGCCAGATGTAACATGTGATATAACAACATCAGTCTATCATAATAAAATCTATTAGTATTTATAATTATTCAAAACATTCTCTAATATTCTTGGCTTAACTTGGATCATTTGGCTACATAGCTATATCTTTTTAATGTACAATTTAATTTCAATAAACTGCTTGAATTCAGGTCTTTAGCAGTGAGAGGAAAAGATAATGAAACATTATTCATAATTATTCAAAACAATCTCTAACTATAAACTCTTGGCTTCACTTTGATCATTTGGTCTCTCTTCCCTATCTGTCTGTAGCGTGTGGGCATTGAGTGAATTGTTATATTTGTATTTCTGCGTAGCTACAGTTTGTTTCAATGCTTGTCTTTCATAAACAGGTCTTTACAATAAGAAATGAAATGAAATGAGGTTTAACGTCCTACTGTTCTGCTCCTAACCTGGGCCAATGAAGACGGGCATATGCCATACAGTGTGCTATGAGGGAAATTTTGCCCGGGCAGCGGTGCTACGGCCTACTCTTATATCGAATTCCAACTGCCAAGGGATCTTTTACGTGCACACCAATGTGTACACCGGACCTTGTTTTTTCTTCCCATCCGAACGACTAGACAGCTGTCTTGACTCAATGACAGACCTTATGATCTAAACCTCACATGTTAGACCACTCGCCCATCCAAACCTCCTTTTTAAAAATAGATAGGGAATATGTGGAACAATAGATGAGGGTCATCACAACATACAGATGGTATAGTTACTAGGTTTCAAAGAGGGGGATGGGGGTGGGGGTGTTACCATCTGTGGATCCAAAACACCATTCAATTTTTTCTCTCACAGAATTGACGAAATGATTCACACACAATATAACAACATCTGCGGTGTGTTATCGGCCTCTCAGTTATTTCTATAAAACTTTAAATCCAAAAACTTCTGTTAGAATGGGCTTCAGGTATTTTGCATGTTTCACCTGAAGACAATGACAAGCAGACGTACAGTTCCATTATATATCTGTGTATAATCTGAACCATACGGACTCGCACGCACACACACGTTAGGCCACAACAATTTTATTTCTAGTTTTTGAACGATGTTTTATTTCAAATTTCAAAACTTAAAAATTTGTGGATTTAACATTTTTGAGAAAAGCCACCAAATATTTCTGGTATTTTAAGAAAAAAAATTGTCATGAAATAGGAAGCCAAATTTAAATTCTGAGAAGAGCAGCCACATATATTTCGTATTTCAATTAATATTTGTTTCACATCAAACAATCTGATTAAAATACAGATCTACGTTTTTTTATATTTTCGATGGCCGACACTACATGAAGATCTGACCAGTTGTACTGGGAGGACGTGTCAGGGGTCATACGAGCGACTTTCGACCATATGACATCAGACATTGATTAATCCCTCAGCGTTGACGTTACTAGGGGGTTTACCCACAGTTCTGCTCAGAGCACGCCAAGAACACACCGTAACAGACTGTTTCATTGGCTAATTCCTCACATCAACTAGAACGTCTGTTATATAACAACTCTTTGAACTATAAAAACCAAAATGAAATAGGATCTGTGTTTTAATCAGATTGTTCAAGAAATAAAAGAAAAACTTTTAATCTAAGAAGAGCAACCACATATTTTTTGTATTTCAATTAATATTTGTTTCAGCCTACAGAACTCGTAGGTTATTCCCATTTCAATTTGGTGTGGCCTTATTTTTTACCATCTGGTTGAGGTAAAGCATAAAATCTTTTCCCGCCCCTTCTCGGTCATAATTATAGCTTAATTACCCCCGTTCCTAATGGCTGAATTACACCCTTCTATAACACATATACCAGCACACAGAAAAATGTGAAATTTAAGAGATTGTTCTCGACTCGTGGAATCTGGTGAAAGCCAGGCTATTAGATATTAAGTGAATCACAATTTAGCAGGATTATTTCTTGGGAGGTCTTAATAAGCAGGAAACCGTGATAATTTGGCCAGCATTTAATTTTACTCTCTTTATCTCAATTCTTTCTGTTTATTTGGTATTCAACTGGCAAATGCTCAGAATAAATTCAAAAAATTCTAAATAAATCTTTCATTGATTGCGTATGCCGCCCGTGATTATGACATTTTCACTAAATGCTTTTTACGTTAGTAATTTTAATATCCCTTTTTTTTTTTTCACATACATGTCAGAAATGTTTAGCGAATGTGCTTCCCTGATGTTGCGTTACATATTCCTGCGATAAGAAAGAGCAACAGAATTCTTATCTGATGTGAATATTATGTAAATTCTTCATGTGGGAACTGAAGGGTGTGTTCTAGTTTGTACATGCATGTTTGATAATAGAATATTATAGAATGCATGTGTAGCATGTTATATCTTAAAGTCACCATGTCAGCTACAGAATCACATGAAGGCATCATATTATGGCCATCATTTTATATAGCTAGAGATATTATCGAAACTATTTATTTGGTTTAGAGAGAGGGGAGAGAGAGAGAGAGAGAGAGAGAGAAATAAAGTTCAACAACACAGACTAGGTCATTTGACATCCACTCGACGCAATCTAGGTAATTTCAGGACTAACAAGTAACGTACAGTAAATTTTATTTTAATAATTTGTTTGCATGTAGGAGGAAACCGGAGGTCCAGAAAAAACCCAAGAAATTAAGAATTAAGCAGGTGAGTTGAGTTCTTGCTACGTACAAGCTTGAGTTTGGAAACACGCCACTTTATCTAAAGTGTATGCATTAGACCACTTTCTTCCCCCCCACCCAACTTTTTAAAGACTCCAGAAAATAAAAACTGTAAATATAGCACATACAAGTCTGAACCTAAGAATAAACTCCGACCATTTTGACAAGTTAACAAGTTGGGTCAGCTGGTCGAAGTGTCAAGCAGGTGCTATAAATCGGAGTAGTTGATTAGCCGATATATACAGGTAAACAGTAACCAATATACCTATCATTTGTTACTTTCCCCATCTCTCCGCCCAACCAATACATACAAAGAACATCAGATTGGCTTCACTCTATATCTAAGTACTGCCACATGCCGTAAATACTTGCCACACGTTCGTTACAGCGGTGATGGTTGTATATATAACATGTACTGGTATTTAGAGGCTAGTTGTGTCCAGAACGATAAGTAATTCTACTAGTTTGACATCCACTTATTACCTACATATCACTACCTGTATCTAATCACTCCACTAATCTACCTGGCTGACTACATCACTGTACTATCGCTAAATAAAAGCCTACTACTGACCACTCATCTATAGTGGCTGTAAAATGAAATGTGAGTAAACTCTAAACGAAATATCAGCCAAAAAATGGTTCAGTTCCATTCAGTTTTTACAAAGATATGATGAATTTAAAATTTTCCAAAATATGCCATCCTCTGAAATTAAACAATTGTCCACAAACATGCAAATGATGATCAATAATTTTAAATATGTACTGACCAACCAATCAAATCATCTACGTTTAACGAATCAAGTAATGGCAGATTCGTGCATCTGTACAGAACATCATTTGGGATCAAAAGAAAATATATTCATTTTTGAGCTTCAGGTAGATTTGCAAGGCAATTTACTTTTCTAATTTCCATAAAATATTTACACTTCAAATTGAACCTGCACGTACATCACCAGGTAAAAACATCTGATCTCTACTTCAGGTAAACCATGAAGCCCATTCGTTACAAGGCATTAGTCATACCTTTCTACACATATTGCTTCTTACATTACCTATACCAATTACACACACGAGAGCAGGATGCTATCCTCCTCCACCTTAACTAGGGCACAATTTACGAAATATACTCTTCAAAAATTAAATCTAATTTAAAATCTAAATGAAATAAACAGGTGCTTCTGAAGAATTATGTATGATTTGTTTTTCAGGTTATTTCAAAAAGCAACTTAAATTGTGTTTGATCAAAAGTACACAAAAATTGTTACCAATGGCAACTATTAAACATAGAAATGGTATCAGGTGTTCAACACTGAGTAAGCATACATATCTCCAGACAAGTCATCACTCACTAGTCTTTAGGATGGAATGAAAAACTGAGAGCCACCAGTTCAAGAATAAAATCATAAGTACCATTTTTTTTTTTTCATTTCAGTGCTTGGATATTTTTTTTTAGGTTATTTCAATTTTTGACATCAAATTGTTTGATCCAAAAATAAATCAAAAATTGTTACCTAGGGCAACTATATAAACAAAGCAGAATCAATAGTACCAAAATAAATCTCAATTTCTGTGCATTTTAAAAACTCAAGAAAATAACATTTA